GACTTTGGTGTAAACACTGGCCTTCTAACTGGCCATCTGAGCTTGCCTTCTTTGGCAGCGGGTAAGGCCTCCATGAATCCCATGGGGATCTGTGGGAACACTTCTTTGCTTGGTACTTGTGTGGACAACTCTGCTGGCAGTACTGTGCCTCATGTGTATGTATAAGCTGACTGGTGGTAGGCACCTGGCGGATGATGACAGTTTTACCTTTGGGGTACACCCCTGCCATTGCTGCCTGTGATGTCAGGGGTGGAAACCTGTTGCTCTCAGTGCCTGGAACCAGAGGGCAACTCTTATCTGCACCTGGGCTTGGTTACTGTGGAAACAGACTATTGTTTGTGTCAGTACCCTGAAAACTTTGAAACTTGGTGGGCCTGGTGCCAGGTCCTTCCTGACTTGCTGTTTGCCTGTTCTCCAGCTGAAGCTGGGAAATCTAGGATGTCACTCCAGCAGCTAGTGGAATTGAAGCCAGTGCCCACCCTGCCCTACCCTTCCTGGGTGCCCACCCTGCCTCCCAAATTGTCCTCTGCAGCCCAGAGAAGTGCTTATCAAGGTGGCTTCAAGGAGCAAATGTTCTTTGACAGCACACTCACAGGTATTTAGCCCTTGGCAACTTGTTTTAGTACTTCAAAGTGGGGTACATGGACATGGAAATTTAATTTCCTTTGAAAATTGTTCAGCTTTAGTAATCGGCAGAATCAAAAGCATGGGTGTTCTAGCTTTGTACCCTTCAGTTTGCTTCTTACAGCTTGCAAAGCCAGCACTGGGGAGGTGAATTTTTCTGGACTTTGTTTTAGTTTTGTTGTTGTTTTTGTTTTAATTAGTGAGCAGATCTAATACGGGTGCTCTATCACTGAGCCATGCCCCCAGCTCAAGCCCTGAAGTCTGTATTCAAGTGGGAGAATAAGAGAGTTGGGAATGTAATACAGCTCAGCGGTAGAACACTTGAATTCCTTCGCCAGCATCCGCGTGAAGAAGCTGCGCTTGATAGCATCCACCAGAAATCCCCATGCTGGGAAGGTGTGACAGCTGAGTCCCCAGGCTCCCTGGCCAGCCTAACCTAACTTGGCAAGTTCTAAACCACATGAAATCCTAGCTCAAAAAAAAGCAGGGGGGCGGGGGGGGGGGGGGGCCGGGCCCAGCGGGGGGGATGACTCAAAGGTTAAGAGCACTGGCTGCGCTTCCAGAGGTCCTGAGTTCAATTCCCAGCACCCACATTATAGCTCACAACCATCTATAATGTGATCTGGTGCCCTATTCTGGTGTGCAGACATAATAAATAAATCTTAAAAAAAAAGGGGGGTGGGCATCACCTAATAAAATGTAATATTTTTTTCTTACAAATGTCAAAAGTGGAGGCAGAGAAAGCTCTAAGCTGAATCAGTTTCTCTCTTTGTCCTTTCCCTGAAGATTTAGCCAAATGCATGGTGGGAGGGATCCTTGCAACAAAAGATCCTTCTCTACTTTGTCTGGGCCCCCAAGCCCATGAGGACCAGCTCATGTACATGGAATTTAGGGGACCCACCCCTCACACCCTTTTTCTCTTCCTCAGCATTTTCAAAGGCAGCCAAGAGCCCGGAATTTACAAGTCTGACTTGTGGCACGTATCCCAGGGTGCTTTGAGCTTTGGACTTGTTTATCTCCCCAGGACAAAGAATCTGCTGGTCCTTTATTGCCCGCATTTCCCCTGTCTGACCACCCGCCCTTCCACAGCACCAGAATGCCTTGCCTCACCCAGTCACCATTGAGGTGGGGCACATTCTTTGGGTCCAGCTAAACCTGGGCAGGGTGTTCTCAGAGGCAACAGTTTGACAGAGGCTTTGAGCTCCAGGCCTCACTAACTGAACAGCACAAGAAAGACCCAGTGTGTGAGGATCCACAAGCAATGTGTCAGATGCAACAATTTCAGGTCTAGATTTCAGTCCCAGACATGTGGTTTGCCCACTGAGTCATCTCAGCCAATGGCCTCTGTGCTCTCTCCTGTACAATGGGGAGAAGGTGGGGTCCTTACATTCTAAGCTAAGACAGACACCTCTCTGCTCAGACCATTTACCCCCCCCACACACAGACTTAGGTAAACCAGGGCTTCCAGGACACCTGAAAGGATGTTGGGGTGACTTGGGTCCCCAAAGTGGAGACGAACAGGTGCCCCACTGGGTGAAAGCTGGTCTGTGGAAGAAGACAGTAATGTAATGGTTCTAAGCACAGCTGAAGAGGTTCATGTCCTACTCTGCCGACTTCCCCCAAGCCACTCACCCTTATATAATACTTGCTTCATGTGGGGTTTAAGAGAAGCTGTGGGATCATGGAGCTAGAGCCTGCTGGTGGCTGGATCTGGGGATCATCAGTGGAAACTTGAGAAGCACTCCTCAAAGGGTTCAAGTTTAACAATCGCAGCCCTGCAAGCTTATCAGCCAAGGCACCTCAGGGAATGGCCTTGGAACCTCAGTGCCCACATCTGTAAAATGGGAAAACACCCTAGAGATGCAGATCGGTGCTCTGCCAGGTAGAACCAGGAAGCTCTTACTTTGTGGGCATGGAACTTTTTTTCTGTTCAGATTCAATTCCAGGCCCATAGTAGAATTATCAGGGTTTGCAGCCTGATCCAAGAGACTGCTCAAAGCACTCAAAAGAGGGCATGGTAGGCCCAGGCTTTCATGCTTGGTTTACATTTGTTAGACCCCCCCGAAAACTCAAGTATCTGGGGTCCCAGGCCACGTTCTCGGTCACCCCAATCACCAGGCGGATTCGAGAGCTTGCTGCAAACTGTATGAGGCTTTATTGTAATTTAACGAGCTAACCCCATGTTAGCTCGGGTCTTCCACCCACCCACCATGGCGGATGGCTAGAAAAGACGGCTCCTAGGGGCTCCCGAGAGCTCTTATAGGACAGCGTAAGGGGAGTGTCTAGGGGTATGCACAGGCTCAGGATTGGTGTGCCTCCAGGCTTGGAGGGCTTGCCCTGTGTTGATTGGTCAACTGGTTGTTATGGCCCATAGGCCCTCCCAGGGTGGTTGCTATGCTCTCTACGTCATTGCTGTGCCTTGTCCATAAAGCACACCTAGGGTCGTAAAGTATAGTGCCACCAGCTAACTTCTGATTGGTTCCTTGTCACGAGACAGGCATCTGACTTTCTAGTGTCTAGGGCAAGTTCATAGAAGCACGTGTTCGGCCGTTATGGCTGCCAAAAGGGAAGCTGGTCCCTTCACATTTAATCTGTAAGTCCCCAAACTCCCTCTAGCCTTCATCTTTATCCATGGACAGCTTATGGCTGATTTACAGCTTTGAGCTTGCTCATCTGTCAGATGAGGGTCCCAACTCTGCCTGACTAACTCATGTTTCTGGTTATGAGCTGAATCCAAGAGTACCCTCACCAAGAAGCCTCCCCTGACTCCCTACCACCCCGATATCATGCTGTTAACTTTACCTCCTGAGATGAAATCGTACAGGCTGGGAGCATAAAAGCTCCACTCCTTCTCATATACCTACATTTTGTATCTTCATTAGCACCAGACATGGGTCTAGAACAAATGAATGTTGAATTGATTAAATGAGTGCACATACAGCCAAAGATGGGAAGACAAATGACCCTGGAGAATTGTGTATAGCCCTCTCCTCACTGGCCCTTTGAGGCTGTGAGAGTTCAGGGGGCTGGCCTATGGTGCAGATAGAGCCTTCCCCTGCTTGTCTATGTCCCTTGTCTGATAGTACATTCACCAGGAGAGTTTTGTATCCATAACTTGGACAGGGGCTTTAGAGTTGTAGTGGTTTGAATATGAGACATCCCCCCACAAAGGAGACTAGGTCATTACCCAAAGGGGTTTTCTGGCATGGCTGATGAGAGCTGTGACCAAAGGAATGGATAAATACTTACTGAGGAAGAGCTGGGGAGAAGGAAGAGGTAGAGCCTGGCTGGAAGAAGAATGTTTCTGGGTTGTGCTCTCAGGAGCTGGATCTTGCCCTGGCCCTTCCTGTTGTCCCCTTTTTCCTTTCTGGCCATAATGAAATGATGGATGAGTCCTCATCCACTGCCATACTGTTCTTTCCATCCAAACATATGGCCTAAATGACTGTGGACCACACCAGATGAAACCATAACAAATCGTTTTTTGCCTTTTAAGTTTTTCTTTCTTTTTTTTGGGGGGGGGGGAGGGAGGTGTTCTGGACAGGGTTTCTCTGTGGCTTTGGAGGCTGTCCTAGCTCTTGTAGATCAGGCTGGTCTCAAACTCACATCTGCCTGCCTCTGCCTCCCGAGTGCTGGGATTAAAGACATTCGCCACCACCACCCAGCCTCTTTCTTTTTTAAAAGTTTTTCTTGTGCTGGAGAGATGGCTCAGAGGTTAAGAGCACTGGCTGTTCTTCCAGTTGGTCCTGAGTTTAATTCCCAGCAACCACATGGTGGCTCACAACCATCTGTAATGAGATCTGGTCTCCAGGGATAAATGCAGGCAGAACACTGTATACATAATAAATAAATAAATAAATAAATAAATCCTGCTTCAAAAACAAACAAAAAAACAACAACAACAAAGTTTTTCTTGTAGATTTTGGTCACAACACCAAAAGTCTGACAGATATAGAGTCCTATTGCAGCACAAGCATTTAATGTCACTGGCCCCACATCTGAAAGAACTCTGCTCAAGCACCTATAAAGAGTGTGCTAAAGCGGTAGAGGGCCCAGCCTGGGGCCTGTATGAAACAGGTGTGAACCTCCATATAACAGCAGTGATTGGGTGCTAACAGGCTAACAGAATTTCCCTATACCTTCATTCTGCACCTGGAAAGGTGGTCATGAGCAAGGAGATCGCTTAAGGCCTCAGAGCACAGCATAGTACCTAGTTCCAGGCAGGTACATATTAAATTCCAGCTGACATTAATGGAGGTTGCCCCACAAACAGACTCTGTCGTGTGTGTGTGTGTGTGTGTGTGTGTGTGTGTGTGTGTATTGTGGTGCTTGTGTGAGTGCAGACATATCTGTGGAGATCAGAGAAGAGCTTTTGAGAGTCAGTTCTCTCCCTCCAACCTGAGTTCTGGGATGGAACTAGACCATTGGGCTTGCATGACAAAACCATTACCCACGAGCCATCTTACTGGCCCATGGCTTTGCTTCCTTTTCCAACTTGACCTGGCCTGGCCTGACAGTGGGGTGACCCTAGTTCCATCACCATCCCACCCTCCTCTCCAGCAGCCCTAGCAACTTGGCTCTCATTGGCTACACGTTTCCTTGGAGACAGACACCAGCCATCCAAACACAGACTGCTGAGCTTCAGGAAAAAGAATCTTCCTTTCTACCCCTGGGCTCCCTAACATGAAGGACCTGCTCAGATCCCCAAATCAGTCCTTCTTTGCGGAGCGAATAAAGAAGGAGTTGGTTGCTCGGGCCACCTGGAATATCCAATATGGCCACAAGTACCTGAAAGAGGCATCCAAGACCAGGAAGCAGCCCCGGAAGGCCACCTTTGGGTCAGTCTTGAAAGAATGCCCAGTGCCTGTCACTGGCTCCCCTATCAGAAAAGGGGCACCGATGGGATGGCTAGAGACCAAGGGGGTCCAGGACCAGGTGTTCAAGCCTGGATGTGTCCAGGTAGACAGAATAAAGCAGGTGAGGGGACCCCCTCGGTACACAACAGCCCCAGGCAAGCCAGAGGACTTAAAAATGAGGCACCCCACCCCAGCCACTCTGAAGCTGCTCTTCCAAGGCATCTCCCATGAAGGCCAGGGCCGGGCCCTATACCTCAAGGAGCGGAATCGACTGAAACCAGAGGAGAAGTACAAGTACCCGATGGTGTCTTCCTGGGATTATGGCTGGCACGTGGGTAAGTCCATGACACTCTTGCCATTCCAGACTTTTGGCAGACAGGACTGATCCTCCTCCCCAGCTTCATTCTTTACCACCTCCCTTCTGACACAGAGAACCAAACTAGGTCACCACTCTACAAGTGGACCAGGAGACCTTTTACCTGCACATGGTGCCTGGCCTGTTCTCTAGCACGCACCCTACTTCCCCTCCCTGAGTACATGCTACCTCCCCTAGGGAGCCTTCCCAGAGTCTTCCAGGCAGATTCACTGAGCCCACCTGGAGCTTCTGCAGCTTGGTGAGTCTACAGCAGCCCAAGAACTGCTAAGTCAGCAGTCTGCATGCCCATTTGACCTGGAAGCCCTTTGTATCCCAAGATTTCCCGGTTCATTTTTTTCACAGCCTCTTAGCTGCCTCCTTGGAATTGACACTGAATGACTGTGGGATGAGTGAGTATGGACATGTCAAACATAGTGGTACACACTTGCAACCCAAACACTCAAGAGACAGGAGGATCAGAGAGTTCAAAGTGAACTACCTTCACCTCCATAAGGAGACTGATGTGAGCCCTGTCTCAAAAAAAAAAATCTAATCTAAAACAAACATGAACAGGAAAGCAAGTCCTTTATTTGAAACAGAGGTGGGGACATCTCAAATCCTGATTCTTTTTATTGTGGATGGCATGATCTCGTGAAAGAATATTCACTTCTCAGGGCCTTGGTTTCTATATCTGAAACTGGAATAAGCTAGTGCCTGCCTTTCTTCATCACAGCATTTTTGGGGAGATCATGTGGGAAAGAATGTGGGACAGGAATTCTGCTCACAAAAGCCCTGTGAGATGTGAGGCCCATGGAACCCTCTCAGGACAACCCATATAGGGAGTACAGTGGTTCTGAATCTCAGTTCTCCCCTAAAAGGAGCATTGGAACAATCAGGCTCAGAAGACAAACTCAGCCTGAATGGAAGTCTGGTCTCTTTGTTCATTCAATGGATTTTATTGAGCAACTGATATATGCCAGGCATGTTTTGTCCCTGGGGATGAGCCAGAAAGCAAAACAGACATGGTTTCTGCCTCCACGGAAGGTAGACAAGAAGTAGATATATGCTGTAGGTACAGGCAACAACCATGTTGTAAGGTTTTTGTTTTTCCTTTTTTACTGGGCATAGGAATCAGTTGTCAAAGGTTGGGGATGGGATACAGGGCGTTGCACACATACTAGGCAAGTGTTCTGCATTGAATCTTGGACTGTTTCCGTACCTCTAACAAGCTCCCAGATGCTGCAGTTGCAGCCTGTCTGTGAACCACACTGATTGTCAAAACCGTGAGAATAACAGTTAACTCAGGATATGGGGATCAGGACTAGGGGCTACCTGGGCAGACAGAAAACAGGAAAGACTACTACAGAGTCTTCTTGTGGGTGGTGGCTTTGCACAGTGCTCTTCCAAAGAGGACCTGATGGCTTGTACTCACAGAGAGCATCTCAGTTAAGTGACCAGCATCTCCTCTCCTGCTCTGCCCCCCAGGCCCATGCTCACCGCCTGTGAAGGCGCTGTGTTGGTAGATTTTGTGACTACGCACACAGGATACAAAAGCTCATTTGAATTCTAGGTAACAAATAACTTTTTGTATGAGTGTACAGTAAATATGGTGTGAGCATACTCTAAAGATTATTCATGGCTATCTGCAATCCAAATGTGACTGAGCAGCCTGTGCTTTATCCAGCCACCCCAAGCATCAGCAGCCATGCTGGTAGCCTGGTTCTGAATGCTCACTGGCTGCTAGGATGATGCTAGATTGTAGCCAGAAGGCAGATATCATCTGCTTAAGCTCAAAGTTGATCTCAGAATCTCTAGAACATTTCATAAGCCTCTGGCCTCACACCCTGAACCCAAACCCAATTCAGGTGTCACTTGGAGAGCAGATGACAGACCTTCTGCTGACTGATACTGTCCCCTACCCTAATTATAAACAGAGAGAGGCAGGCAGTTCATCCCAGAGGGTGCATAGGGTTCATAGGGTGCATAGGGAAGAGTGTTGAGGACTTTATCTGGGCCCCAGCTGGGTTAGTAAAAAATTCCCATATGTACATATAAAACAACTGACTGATGCCTCACACATAGTAAGTGCTCAGTAAAGTAGGAACAATCATTATATTTATTAGTGTTATTATTACCAAATTATGATTGTTACTCCTGGTTCAACAGGCAGAATTTGCAGTGGTGGGCATCTAAGGAGCTAGTTTGGCCTTGGACAGCCCCTAGAAATCTTACTGTACAGTGGGATAGTGACTATAAGCTATGAAAATCCAGGAGTCCTGACAATGGCAGGAATATGAAGCATGGTAAGTGAGCTTGGAGTTGGGTGAGGGGCCCAACTGGTTAACAGTTAGAATGACTTGAGTGCTGGTTAAAACAGATCCTGATCCGGGGCCTGTGCAAGGTCTTGAGGTTCCATGCTGTGCACATATTAGCCTTTAGCAGTAGGATCATGAAGAGTTCCAAGCATCCTTGGGAAGGGGCCAGGGACATTGAGAGGCACTGGCTATTCCCGACTGACAGAAGAGTTTCCCCATATAATAACACATCACTGCTGACCCTCAACCCTTTAGGAAGGGGAGTTCTAGCAGGAGGATGGTGATGACCCCTGTTCATCTAGGCCTCTGCTGTGTTCCAGGGGATGTCATGAAGGACTTCAGGACTCCAGTTTATGCCAGAACTCATCCCATCACAAAATCATTTTACCTCAAAAGTGGCATTTTCCATATTCCACGGAGATCAGATGACGTCATGTGAACTTGGCTTGGAAAGGGTCTCAGTGGCTCCTTTTCCATATGACCCGTCTGGACCAGCCAGGTGGGCGATGCTCCGGGCCGGCCCTACCTTACTCCATGTTCTGCTGAGCCCTGCTTCCTTGGCTGAGAGTGATGTGAAGAAGGCATACGCCTCTGGGGTGTGCTGTTGTCCTATATTGGGGCTCTCGTCTACACACAGAGAACTCCACTGCTTACAGATCTGCTCACCCTGCCATCACTAGCAATGCTGCTCCTTTCACTGAGAAAGACAATGCTGCATCAGCAGGCCTGGACAGGGGAGGAATTCACTTGCTGTGAGGTGCTAAGGAGAACAAAGATCTATTGTTTATTTCTCTACATTTGACTGATGGGATCTATAGCAGAGCTGCTCTGCCCCCATATATCCTACAGTTCAGGGAGAAGTTTGCCCTCTCCTCTGGCTGCTTCCCTTGCCCCTGTATCAGTCAGAGATGCCCTGCCTTGCGTGCTGCAACAAGCAGCCCTAAGTCTCAACTATTTAAACAATAAAGATAAATTCCTTTCTCCTCCCTACCCCGACTCATGGAAGATGTATCTGTCCCGCCAGAGTCCAGTCTAATGCCAAGTGAGCAACTTCCTAGGTACTCATCTAGAGGAGACACTGCCCTCATCTGGTGACTGTCAATGACTCAGACCTCAGAACCCTTTTCAGAGTCCTCTCTGCTCAAGGAAAGGGAAGACAGATAGGGAATGTGTAGACACTGGAACCACGTGCGGGTTTCGTTCATTGGCTTTTTCTGAGATAAGGGTTCATGTAGAGCTTAGGCTGACCTGAAACTCTTGCATGAACTTCCCATGGCTTTCAGAGCCACAAGACACCAAGCCTGCAGCATACCCACTCTTAACCACCTTGGCCTTAGCCTGATGTTTACAGGCCTGATGTTTACATTCTATTAGTGAGACCAAGTCATGTGACTTCTAGGTGGTTGACAGCTGGGTTGTGTCCTATCATCATGAACCCAGGAAGAAATAACATCTAGCCCATCTCTTTCACAACTGATATGCCCTTGGGGCTGTCCTGGAGCCACAGCCACAATCTAAAACTAAGCTATGAAAATCCAGGAGACCTCAAACAACAGAAATGCACTGTATCCCTATTATAGGGGCTGGAGGTGGAGAAATCAAGGGACCCTCAAGGCCATGCCCCCTTGGATCTAGCCGAGGAGCCCCTTTCTTGCCTCCTTCATGGCTCTCATGGCTTGAGAGCAGGAGTGTGCTCTTTGGCTTGTGACAGCACTGCTCTAACCTGCCTTCAGTGTCACACAGGCTAACCTGGCCTGTCCTCACACCCCTGTTGTGTAAGGATATCAGACACGTTGGACTAGGGCCCACACCACTCTAGACAACTTCATTTACTGTTTCCAAATCAGTGAGGACTTCAACATACTCATAGTTCAGTCTACCACCCCTGCCCTATGATAGGCAGTCTTACTGGGTCCATTATCAGAGCCATCTTGATGGGTCTTCCTCTTTTTTTCTTGGAAAGCATTCTCAAGCACAATCCCAGACATGGAAATAGTAGTCCATGGAGTCCCATCAGGTGTTGCTGTTCACAGTACCTCATTGCTTAGGAGAGAGACATCCATATGTAGGGAGACCAAACCTACACATAGCTCTTTGCAAAACCAAAATGTTCACAGGTTTGCCTTAACTTGGGGCATTGCAGTGCTCTCCATTCTAGTTAAAAGGGAGGTCCTGCAGTCTGAACAGAGAGTAAACTGGACAAACAGGTCTCTCAAGAGCCACCTTTAGAGGAATTCTCCAGGCCTTTACTAGTTTGCTCATTATCCTGAAATCTCACTGACAACTAGACCATTTAAAATATTGAATGCAACTAACTTACCTGATTTTCCCTAATTAACTTTGACAATAATATTGAGGGAGAAAGAACAGAAGACAGACTGTGACCAAGTACCACTGTAGAAATAAATATGCTTTCTTGGAACTCACACAGCAGCCTGACATGGCAGAGTTGCTGGACAAACACCTACTGAATTTACTCAAACACCAATAACTCACTGGGTTTTCTGGAGTCATTGGATTGAAAGCCCAAGACATCAGCTGGGCTCCTTGGAACTCACAAGTGAAGTGGGAAGGGCTGTGGTGAGGAAAGTAGACAGCCTTGGAGCACAGAGAAAGCTCCCTGCAACGGGTCACTGGTAGACTGTCATTAAACAATGGCACACTTAGCAAGCTTTTGTCATAGTGCCTGGCTCTATCCATGTGTGTGATGAATTGTGATTGTCTCTGGCAGAAAGTACACAGGTTGCTCAGAAGAGGACAGGCTCTCCTGAGAAGCATTCTGCATATCCACTAGGCCCTACTAACTGACCATCTGAGGGGAGGTTTCCTCAATTATCCTAAGGACAGTGCTGTATAGCTAGCACCAAACTAAAGGTGTGGGTTGAAACTAGATTCATTATAAACAGCAGCTGTCCCATATTTTAATGCCTAGATTATCCCTGGAAAACAAGCCCAAAAGGGCTGGGGATGGACATGTAGCCCAGATAGTAGAGTGATTGTGTGGCACGCACAAAGTCCTGGGTTCAACCTCCAAGTCCCAAGCACCACATATAGGAGGCTTGGTGACACACGTCCCAGCTCTTGGATGTGGAAATAGAGGATCAGAAGTCCAAAGTCCCTCTCCTTGCTTACATAGCAAACGCAGGGCCACCTACTATACATGAGACCCTGTATCAAAATGGAAAGGAAAGGTGGGGAAGGAGGACTGGAGAAATGACTTAGAAGTTAAGAATGCTTGCTGTGTAATCATGTGAACTAGAGTTTAGATCCCTGCATTTACGTAACACCCTACTCATACCTGTAGCCCAGCAGCACAGTCAGGAGGATCACTGGAGTTAGGTTCAGAGAGGGCCTGCCTCAGGGAAACAGACGTGAAGTGATAGAGGATGACGCTCTCACCTCTTTTGGCTCTAGGCATGCGGATCCATTTGCGCACACACACATTCACATAAAAACACAGAAAAGGGGGGATGGCAGAAGGAAGAAGGAAAGAGAGAAAGTCAGACAGGCAGATAGGCTATCTATGTGTTTAATAAACACCTATATGGAATGTGCAGGCATGTTTTCTAAGCCTTCATCTCCAATTTGGTATTCATGAGCCACATGTGTCACTGAGCACTTTAAATGCCTTGTGCACATTGATATATTCTCTGAGTATAAAAGACACCGTGGGGGTGGGGGAGGTGAGGACACGCATGCATGCACGTGTGTGTGTGTGTTGAAGACTGAGTGTGGTAGGAAACATGAACAAGCCCATCAATAATTTGAAGATCGATATGACAGACTGTTGGAATCAATTTTCCTGGGAAGGCCTAGAGTGATTGTTCTCAGGCTTGTGAGCTGCCTGGTCCCACCCACACAGATGTTCAACTGTTCTGCTGTAAGGCAAAAGCAGCCAGAGAGCATTCAAAAGTGGTTATCATATAAAACAGCAAAGACCCAAACCAGAGGCAAATGGGCGAGATTTCACCCCCCCTACACACACTGACCCTCAGGTTTACATTTTAAAATATGTTATTTTGACTGGGAGGTGGTGGCGCACCCCTTTAATGCCATCACTCGGGAGGCAGAGGCAGGCAGATCTCTGTGAGTTCGAGATCAGCCTGGTCTACAAGGGCTAGTTCCAGGACAGCCTCCAAAGTCACAGAGAAACCCTGCCTCGAACACCCACCACCACCACCACCAAACGTGTTATTTTATTTGCTTGCTTTTATTTTTTAAAAAAATATGGCTGTTGGGTGATTTCAAATTGTATATTGGCTCACAGTATGCTCATACTAGACAAGTCCAACCCTGAAGACTATTAATAGAACTCAGGGTTGTCAATGATGAAGAGTGCATAGGTGGGGCTGGAGAGATGCCTCAGAGGTTAAGAGCACTGACTGCTCTTCCAGAGGTCCTGAGTTCAATTCCCAGCAACCACAACCATCCATAATGAGATCTGGTGCCCTCTTCTGGCCTGCAGAGACACATGCAGACAGAACACTGTATACATAATAAATAAATCTATTTTTAAAAAGTGCATGCGTGTACAAGTAGGGCAAGATATGTGAATTTCTATGACAGCCTAGAGGGGGCTCCCTAGCCTGTGCCCCACAGAGTCCAGATGCAAAGAGCGCTGGATGCTTCCTAGGTCATCATCCTAAATTCCCTGTGACTAAGCCAAATTTCCATAAAAGCCACCAGGTGGCGATAGGAGACCATATATGCTGGGTTTGGTCCAGCCTTTCACTGTTGAGCCTGAACTTAGGTTTCCACGCCTGTGGTAGAGGACCCTCAGGAGACCATGACCTTTGGAGGCAAGCAGACTTGCCTTTGATTTTGGCTCAGCTAGCAGGGCAAGTAAGAGTTCTGTTAGGACTCTCCTGGGCCCTAACTATTGTTCTATTCCTAGGTCCATTGCTCTATCAAAAACAATGGAAAATTTGTATTTTTATCTATGCTGTTTATAAAGAAAAACATGAACAGTATATATTAAACTTTTCTTCAACTAAAAATTTATCATTTCTGTAACCCCTAAAACTATTGTGCTCCCCAACCCATCCCCAGAATCTGTGCCTATCATGCATAATAAATAAGTAAGCTCTGTTCTCTATATTCTCTAGCTGTATGACCTTGGGGAAGTTGTTTGATTTCTCAACTATAGAATTCGGATAGCATCAGACATCACCTCCTCATCTTGTGGTTGGAATTCCAGGAGATAGTAGAGGCTACAACTTTTTATGCTGATATTTTATTTTTTATATTCATTTGTAGAAGGCATGTTCACATGTGGAGGTCAGAGGACAACTTGTATGAGCTGGTTCTTTCCTTCCATCACGTCTGTTCTAGAGATCAAATTCAAGTCGCCAGGTTTGTAACAAGTCATCCCACCTGCATAGGCAACATCTTTTTAGGGCATAGCCTAGGGGCCGAAGATGTAGCTCAGTGAGTAGAGTGTTCAGTATATATGAAGCATTAAGTTTGGCCTCCAGCACTGCATAAGTCCTTGCAGAGTGGTCAGCATCTGTAATGCCAACACTCAGAAGTGTGCAGGCAGGGGCATCAGAAGTCATCTTCAGCTACATAGCCAAGTTTGAGACCAATCTGAGATACATGGGACATTAGGGGAGGGAGGGAGGGAAGGAAGGGGGAGGGAGGAACTTCACACACATACACATATGTATCTATTTTTAATTTTATATGAAGTCGTGTCTTAGTTAACCCTTCCATAGAAAACTCAATGTTTCCCACACACTGTGACCTGTTGGGAACACAGGCTCATACTACTCAGCCAGAAGCCAAGCAAGCTGATAAATAAATGCCAAGCAAGGGGTCCTTAGGATGCAGGTAGGTGTGTGTGTTTGTGTGTGTGTGTGTGTGTGTGTGTGTGTGTGTTCACATTAGTATGTGCACAGATTCATGCCCTTATGCCCTCGCTTTCTTACAGTTCCTTCATTTCAGTAGCTTCTCTGAATCTGAAAGATTGAAGCCATAGTTGCCAGGATCCCATGAGCCTCTTCCAGAATGTGGTCCACAGGGTAAGTGGCTTAGAGATGCTGCCTTCTTCCTAACAGTAAACAGGAGATTCAACTCGGCAACTGATTCAGCTGTGAGTTTCTGTCAGTAGCTCTACTTTCCATCCATACACCTGCCTGTACCTGCTTCCTTTCCTTTTCCTTATTTTGGGAGGGACTATTTTTACTCTTCATGATGGAATGATGCATAAACCTTCTATATATCTTGATCACCAGGTGCAGTAGCGTCTCCTTGCTAGTGAATTTGTGCTAGTAACCACACTCCTTTGGGCGTGGCTTCAGGTGCATATTCGACCAGAAGGTGGAGAAGCATGGGTGGGCTCTCAATCACGCTCTCTCTCTCTCTCTCTCTCTCTCTCTCTCTCTCTCTCTCTCTTGTCACTATAGGCTGCCACCATTTGGAACTGGAGTGGATCCCAAAAGCTCATGTAGAAAAGACTTGGTCCCCAGCCCATGATGCTGTTGGGAGATGGAGTTGGAGGTTGGTTGGGGGTCATGGGGAGAGAGTGTGCTTGGAAGGGAAACTGAGATTATGCCTCACATCCCATGTCTATCTTGATTTTATGTGTATGGGTACTTTTCTTGGATGTATATATGTCTGTAGAAGCCAGAAGAGCCCACCTCCTGTGTGTGTGTGTGTGTGTGTGTGTGTGTGTGTGTGTGTGTTTCATAGACTCAGAAGCAACCCAGAGCCAAGGTCCATGGACTGAAATTTCTGGAGGCACAGGTCAACATACAGGCCCTTCTTTAAAGGTGATCTCAGGTATCTATCAGGATGATGGAGACGACTAACACAAAAACTCATGGCCTTTTTTTTCTTACATCAAAGTCACACTGTCACCAGTCTATTAAGGGAAAAAAGGAACTCATAGACACATATTTACAGTGGGATACACTTTGTATTTCTTAAGGTTACTCGTGGTACTCACTTATGCATGGACCCCTTTAGGAAGACCACAAAAGCTGTGTGGAGCAGTTGCTTCTGAAACCAGAGACTAGGAGTAGGGCCAGGAGTGCCATTGCTTTTCACTGTTCCTGAGAATGTGTTCATGTACAAGAGTAAAGAAAGAGTATTCTGAAAAAGCAACGCAAAATGCACAAAAATAGACCCCTTGAAAAGAAGCAAAATGGTACCACATTGCTGGATTCCAGAGTGGCAGGAAGAGAACAAAGCCTTAAGTTCAAGTCAGCCAATGGGACTTTTGCTATTCCTGGACTTTCAATGAGTTCCAGTGATGGCCCTGGTGACAAATACATTGTGGCAAATATTTCAAGGGAGGCATGGGATATGACACAAGGACACTTGGGAGAGGACAGGGAATGCAAGGTAGAGCCTCTTCAGGGAGCTAGGGGAAGGAGGGAAAGGAGAAAGGGGTAGGAAGAGAAGACCCTGTTGGAGCAGTGCAAAGTGAGGCTGGCTGTCAGTTAATGGAAATATTCATGGTGTCCAAAGACTGAGCTCAGGATACAATGGCGGGGCTGTGGGTAGGGTTGGGCTGTGGGTAGAAGTGTGCTGTAGTTAGAAGTGTGCTGTGCATAGGGGTAGGTTGTGGATAGGGGTGGATTGTGGGTGGGGATGGGCTGTGGGTAGAGATGGGTTGTATGTAGGGGTGGAATGTAGTAGGGGAAGGCTGTGTTCTTACTTGAAAATAAAGGATGACACTGGAGTTTACTAGGCTGATTGAGTTAGGACAATTGGGGTAGAAAGGCACAATGGGAGTGGCCCTCATTCTCAACTGAAAGGTGTTACAGTTGTCTTACTCCAACAGCATGAGGTAGAGTCTGATTGCCTACATCATGAGGTATGATTTGAGTCTTGGCATTTCTGCTCATTTCTGGGAAACAGGAGTCCCTTGTGAGCACTGGCAGCTGACAATTGTCCTGTTATCTAACAAGTGGCAGGTCCCAGTGATGGTTTGGGGTCAAAGAGGTATAACAGAAGACTTTTCTTCCAACTTGGCTCCAGGTGGAATGAACTCAAGTTGATAATGAAATCAGCTGGACCATTCTTTATTCCTGAGTGTGCAGATAGCTTAGACCTATGAGAGACATTTTATTTGGAAGCAAGGAGTGGTGTTAACAAAATGGTTCCATGGTGCTTAGGAGCGATTGCCTTTTTTTCTCTTCTTTAGAGCAACGGATTTTCTGTTGTTGGTGGAGGCCCTTGAAGACTGTAGCTTAAACTCAACTGGAAAGTGGTCACTGACATCCAGAGCCTATATGGAGAAAAGAGTAGAAGATTTGGAGGTTAGGGGATGCCTGGGACATACTGTGGCTTGAGCAATGACACAATTCAGAAGTAGAGAGGGAAGATAAAATGTCTGAGGTCATCAGGTGGAACTGATGAGTGTTTTTCTTGGTCCTGCTCCTGGGAAATTTTGGCAGGTCTTCAAATCACAGAATTGTACACCTTAAGACTCAAGAGCAGCCCTTCCACATTTCCAGGCTGGTGAATTAGAAAGACAAGGTGGTAATCTTACCTCCTCATCAGATAACTCATAAGCTTTCTGGAAGTCAAAGATGCCATTTGAACGGGGAACCACTGAATTAACTATCTCTTGTCCTCGAAGCACAATCCTAGAGTGAGAACAAGGAAGATAGATGCACTAATTAGTACAAGTTGCAGACTTCTGAGATAAAAGGGAGGTATGGGCTTGACCCTGGAATTGACTGAGCAGCTTGTCCTTTTTTTGTAGTGGGTGCTCCATGTCCACAACTTGGTTTCGTTTGCAACCTGTACTGGTCAGTTTTTGTAAACTTGTCACCAACCTTGAAATATCTAGGAAGACGGAACCTCACTTAAGGAATTTCCTCCATGAGGCTGGCCTGTGGGCATGTCTGTGGGGGCATTTTTCTGATTGTTAATTGATATAGGAGGATCTGGCCCACTGTGGCTGGTACCATCCCTAGGCAGGTGGGTCTGAGCAATAGTAGTTCAGTAAGTCAGTTTTGTTTATCAAAAGCAGTTGGTAAGATACTCATGAATGATTAACGAACAACTGGAGGTGTCACTGTCCCCACTATCAAATTGTTCTACAGAGTTATAGTAATAAAATCATCAGGGTATTGACACAAAAACAGACATGCTGATCAATAAAATAGAAATGAAGACCCATAAATAAGTCCACATACCCCTGGATACCTGATTTTTGATAGAGAAGCCATAAATACACACTAGAAAAATAGCAGCACTTCAGTAAATGGTGCTGGTGACATTGGATGTTGCATGTAGGAGAGCATCGGTAGATCCACACTTATCAACCTGAACAAAACCCATCTCCAAATAAATCAGAGACCTCAGTGTAAAACCAGGCACACCGGATCTGACAGAAGAGAAAATGGGGAATAGTCTTGAACTCATCGACACAGGAGAAGACTTTCTGAGCAAAACAACATTAGCACAGGCACTAAGATCAACAGTTAATAAATGGGACCTCACGAAACTGAGAAGCTTCTTTAAGCCAAAGGAGCTGCTTATCAACTATATATCCTATAAAGAGCTAACCCAAAATATATAAAGAACCCAAAATGTGAACATCAACAAAACAAAGAACCAAGTTAAAAAGTGGGCTACATATTTAAACAGAGAATTCTCAAAGGAGGAAACAAATGGCTGAGAAACACTTAAATGTTCAGTATCCTTATCCATTAGGGAAATGCAAATCAAAACCAAGGACCTAGGGAAAAGTCAAATACTACTGTTCTGCTAAAGGAACATACCAATAAAATGACTCCCAATGACATTCTGCTGTACTCATAGATCTGTGCCTTGCTCAGCCATCATCAGAGAAGCTTCCTCTTGTAGCAGATGGGAACAAACACAGAGACCCACAGTCAGACAATATGCAGAGAGTGAGAGACCTTGGAAAATCCCTAAAGAGGAAGTCTCCATCAAATCCCTCCTTTCAGGGTTTAAGGAACTCTGCAGAATAGGAGGCAGGAAGAATGTAAGAGCCAAAGGGGATGGAGGACAGCAAGGAATCAAGGCCTTCTAGGTACAGCAGGGCTGTCACACATGTGAACTCAGAGACCAGCAGCATGCGCAATGGCTCTGTACCAGGGGTCTGAAAGGAGATGTGTCAGCATCCCGAATCCCTGACCTAGACGCTCCCTCTCATTGAGAGCCACTTGCAAATGAAAACTGAGTTTTCTCCAAATGGTCTCAATGAGGAAACAAACAGCTCTTAAGGGAAGGCCCCATGCCCAGCAGTATCTGGCCAACACAAAACAAACTTAACGGCATCTTTGGAGAGTTTTTGTGTCCTAATATTAAGTCAGAACATTTTTTTCTTTATCTTACAGCTCCTTTTTATTGTATGTATGTATATTATGGCTTCCGGTTTGGGGGTTTTATGAGATTCCTATGTATTTATACACACGTGTCCCTGAATCTATGTATGTTTCTTGTGCTTTTTCTTTGGCTCTTTTCCTTGTTTGTTTGTTTGTTTTACCTATTCTGATTTGTTTTATCTTACTGTATTTTATTGTTGTTCTGTAGAAGTCTGTTTACTTTTCTGGACAGGAGGGGCAGTAAGGAGAAATTGAGAGGAGTAGGGGTAGAAGAAACCATAATCAGAATATATTGTATGAAAACAATTTATTTTCAATAAAAGAAAATAAATAAATGGAAAAGAAATGTAACTGAGTTACTAGAGGGATCAGGCCAGTCAGCAGCATCCCTTCATTGTCTCTGCTTCAAGTTCCCAGCTTGGCTCCCTTTGATAGACTATAATCAGTAAGCTAAGCTGAAGAAAACAGAGCAAATTCAGTAAGAAACCCTATCTCAAGGCAATAAGACAGACACAGACCTCTGATCTGCTGGCACATACTCACTTGCACTCACCAACTCTCTGTCTGTCTGTCTCTCTCTCTCTCTGTCTCTCACTATATTCTTACTTTTTACCGTATCATATTTCCTTTAAAGAGAGCTTATTAATGGATTGAAAGGAAAGTACAGAGGAGGGAAAATGCTAGTACAGATAATTTGCAGTTATGACACTAAATGAAAATATGGTGGTCGAATGAGGTTTATAAACAGACTTTAAGGACTGGGGTGATGGCTCAGTAGATAAGAGGAACTTGGTCTAAAACGTGAAAACATAGGTTTGACTCTCCAGCACCCACATAAGAAGCCAGGCATGTCTGTGCCTGCCTGTATCCCTAGCACTGAAGCAGCATCAGGTAGATCCCCACCGCCAGCCTAACCAAAAGAGTAAGCCTCCAATGCAATAAGAAACCCTATCTCAAGGCAATAAGATAGTCATGGTTCTCTGACCTCCAGGCACACGCACCTGCATCCACCACACACAAACACACACACACACACACACACAGAGAGAGAGAGAGAGAGAGAGAGAGAGAGAGAGAGAGAGAGAGACGTAATATTAAGAAAAAGAAGTAGATTCTAACATATGGCAAAGGAAGTGAAACAGGTAGGTCTTTGTGGTCTTTGTACCCTGACTGGTTTGTAGAAAGTGGGGGCAAATTGCCTTCCAAGACTCTGCCCTGAGCCTTTCCCATTCTGAGTGGCAGTTTGGTTTCTGGGTTTGACCTGCTGGTGGTCCTTCAGCTGGCATAGCTGAGTAAGCCAGTGCCATCTTCCCAGCTTGGCCGAAGTCATTTGAAAGTGGGAAGAGAGGCCTGGATGTTTGGGAGGCTGTAACTTCTCACCCCGGGCTTCCACTTTTGAGGGCTGGAACCATAACAGCCAAAAAGGAAACCGCAGACTCAGAAGTCCCAAGAGGAACAAAGGCGACCACAAGATGGGTATAAAAGCCAAACCTCAAGGCCTAAGAAGTGAGTACACCAGGCTGATGGCCTTTTTGTGCTCCCTCCTCAGCTGAGGGATGGGAACAGCAGGCACCGTGGGACTGAGCTTTCCCTACTTGCTGTCTGTGGTTTCTGCTGTGGGTAGTCCCTGATTTTCACACACTTGAGGCACCCACACTTCCCTCCTGACTAAGAGAACAGAGCTGATAGTGCTTGAAAAAAAAAAAAAAAAAAAAAAACCAGGGATGGGACTGGAAGATGACTCAGCAGTTAAGAGCACTGACATCTCTTCCAGAGGACTCGAGTTCAATTCCCAGCACCCACACGGCAGCTCACAACAGCCTGGAACGCCAAGATCCAACACCCTCTATACATGCAGGCAAAACACCAATGCACATAAAATAAAAATAAATTTAAAAAGAAAAAGCTCCAGGTTAAATTTAAATGTACAATGATTGTCGTTATTTAAACACATGCATCTGCATTTATGTGTAGCAATAGCTTAAAAAGTATTCAATTCAGCTGTGGTAGCTCAGGAAGCCCAAGAAGAGATCAAGGTTACTGTGGGCTAAATAATGAGTCTGAAGCCAACCTGGGCTATATAACAAGACCCTGTCTTAATAATCAAATCAAAAGCTTGATGGTGGTTGTAGTGGCACGCCTTTAATCCCAGCACTCAGGAGGAAGAGACAGGTGGATCTCTGTGAGTTTAAGGCCAGCCTGGTCTACAGAGCAAGTTCTAGGACAGCCAGGGCTGTTACACAGAGAAAGTATGTCTCAAAACACCAAAAGAAAAAAAAAATCAAAGTATAGATATTGTTGCATTAAATACTCTCATTTTAAAGTTATTTATTTACTAGGGAGCATGCAACTACAAACGTGAGGTCAGAAGGCAGCTGCTTGGAGTTGGATCTCTCCTTCCAACCTGTCCATGTGCTCTGGGAACCAAATTCAATTCACCATGCTTGTGTGGCAAGTGCCTTTACCTCCCGTTACTTTGATTTATCAAATAGCACCTGAGGATCATAAACATTTGCTCAAAATACACATGTATGCTGTCCATTTCAGCAGTGTTCCTAACAGCAAGGCCTTAGTAACCACGGAGTGACCAGTGATGGCGGTGGGGTGACCAACTGTAGTATATGTTTGGGATAAAATTGGTGATAGCGCAAGAATTATATGTGGCCATACCTACCTGGATGTTCTAGGTGTCATCTAAGATGTATTTAGCATCTTGTCATGTGCCAGGCACTGTATTAAAAGTTTTATATGTGTAATTTCATTTAATCCTTATTATATCTCCACAACTGAGGTACTATTTTTGTTTTGTTTTTTGTTTGTTGTTTTTGTTTTGTTTTGAGACAGGGTTTCTCTGTGTATTAATCCTGGCTGTCCTGGATCTAGCTCTGTAGACCAAGCTGGCCTCAAACTCACAGAGATCCACCAGTTTCTGCCTCCTGAGTGTTGGTACTAAAGGCGTGCACCACCAGGCTTGGCATAAGGTACTATTAATACTGCAATCTGCAGCTTACTAGTGAGAAAATCAACCAAAGAGTTTAAGTCCCAGTCACAACACATGAAGTGGTAGAGTCAGAACTTGAATTCAGGTCCAACTGGCATCAAAGTCAATGCTGGCCACTGCTAAGCTCCAGTACCACCATGTAAGGCCACGTAGTTGCATATACTGCATAAGGAACCAGAGGATCTTTGTATATGGCTACCCTCCAAGCCAAACCACCACCACCAAGGGCAGTCAGCTGTGCCCACTTGATCATCCCAGCTGGGTTTATTGACTGTTTACATCCCATGTAGCAGGGTGGGGAGGGTCACAAGACCCTTTCCTGTGAATCAGCCCCTCTCCACCGCTTGCTGTATGCAACTCATCCCCAGCTGCCCATGGCCTCAGGGAGGGAAGGAGTATACAAGCCTTGCAAGACTAGGGGGTCCAGGTTTTATCTATGAAGCTATGGAAAAGTCATTATCTCTGCTGAGTAAAGACTTTCTGTTGTGGTCTTTTGGCAGGTTAGCGCCCACACTCCAGTAAGTAAACCCCCACCTATAATCTTTAAGGAAACCCAATGAACTCATGAGTTCCCTGGAGTGAACTTTACTGAGACTTGGGGGGGGGCTTGCTTATATCTCCCCCAGGGAAGAAAGTTTAGTAACAGTCCTGAAACAGAACTAGCTCTTTCTTCAGCTGAAGGGGTTGGGCTGCCCTGGTACAAACGGGGCCAGCAGTCTCTGCAGAGGCTCCTACCTGTCATAAGCACAGTTGGTGCTCTTCTTAACTGTGGTGTCCTCTTTGTCCTCAATCAGCCAAACAAAGTTGGGGTCCGTCCTCAAACGGATGTTCTGCCAGGCCTTCTTGGGGACATAGCTGCAACCAGCATTGAAATCACCCATGAAGATGAAATTCTGAAAGGCATGTTTTAGAACCTTTTAGTAAGCTGGGTTACACGCCTTCACCCTCAACCACTGGCAAGGATTCCACCTTTCATGCCTGGTGAACAAAGAGGTCTTTTTGTTTGTTTTGTTTTGTTTTGTTTTGTTTTATTGGGTTTTCAAGACAGGGTTTCTCTGTGTAGCCCTACTTGTCCTGGAACTCTCTCTGTAGACCATGCTGGCCTTGGACTCAGAAATCTTCCTGCCTCTGCCTCCCAAGTTCTAGAATTAAAGGCGTGAGCCACCACCACCCAGCTACAAAGGTGTCTTTCATGACCTGGGTTGGACCCCTCCCAATATATTTTATTTATTTGTTTTAAACTTATTATTATTGTTGTATGGTGTGTGTGTGTGTGTGTGTGTGTGTGTGTGTGTGTGTGTGTGTCTAGATTAGAGGACAACTTGTAATATAACTTGGGCCATCAGGCCTGCACAGCAAATTCTTTTACACACAGCCATTTCACTGACCCACCCATCCTAATTTTAACTCCTGGTTCCAGTACACTAGAATGTGACCACAAATGGAGTTTTGCATAACCTAGGCTGGCCTCGAACTAGCTATGTAGCCCAGGATGGCCTTGGACCCCTGATTCTCTTGTACCCACCTCTAGATCTCTATGTACTACCACATCCAACTGGAGAACGGGACTTTAAAAATGTAATTAAGGTAAAAAAAAATGAGGCCAGGTGGGTGATCCCTTATACAGGGGCAAGACTGGGGGTTTGCTTAATGGTAGAGTGCAAGCAAGTAGGAGGTCCTGGCTTTGATCTCCAGCATGACAAAAATAAATGAATGAGTTTAAATAAGTGAAATGGGGATTAAAATACAGAAAGACACAGAAGAAAGAAAATGCAGAGTCATCAGGAGATGAGCATATATAGGCCGAGGACAGAGATCCCAAAAGGAACAACCTGGCTCCCACACTCTGGCCTTGGCTCTGCAGCCTCCAGAGCCCTGAGAAACAGCCCAGAGTTGCTTCCAGAAACTGGCTCTGGTGCACTGCAAACTCACAGAGTTTGTTTCCTTTTTAATTCAAGAGAAAACGGGTTCCAAGTGAGTCAGAGTTTTGACAAGGATCTGGCAGTGAGAACAAGGAGTAGGAGAGAGGATGTTCACCCCACCTTGCCATCCTGTTCTTAGTCATCTTTTCTCTGTAATCTGTTGTGCACATGTAGGCAAGAACACTGGAATCCAACTAAGATATTCCCTCACATAAATACTGCAGCAAATGTGAATGAATAAACACCCCAGTTCCCAAGAGGCAAAATTGTTATCACCCAGGCAAATCTGGACCCACCCCTTGAGGATCTGGAACACACACACACACACACACACACACACACACACACACACACACCCTGGCTCTATACACAGGCACAAAAAGACTCTTTAAGAGACAAGCTCCACCTACTTTCTCTCTCTTTCTGCCGTTTCTCTGACGAGGCAGGTCTCTTTATCTCTCTCTTTCCTATCTCTCTCTTCCTTTCTCATTCTTTACTCTCTCTTTCCTCTCTCCCTTCCCTTCCCACATAAGTTCTGCCTGATGGCCTATTTGTCTCTCACCCACCTATTGGAGCCTTCAAGGTCCCCCTCGGCCGCAAATCCTACCAAAAATTTACTTGGGTAGTGTTGTGATGGCTGCTTCAGTAGCTCTGTCTCCTATTGTATATATTGAGGTCAGAAGCTACTTCCTATCAAAACTCAATCCTTAGAGAGGGAAATTCCTAAAGAGTGACCTGCCTTTCTCCACCCCATTCCACAAAGATTTGGAAGTGCCCTCCCACTCATCCCACAGGCTGTGGGAAGACAATTTTAACATTGTGCAATACAGAGGAAAAACCTCATTTCCTTGTTTGTGCTATTGTTTGATTGCTGACTTAAGAGTTTTCCTTAAGAACATTTCATTTTGATCTCTGCAATTAGGGTTTCCCTTGAGATTAAGGTGCATAGCTAAAGACAGAATGCTATCCCTAACCTATGTGCTCCGGCCAGCATGAGGTGATTTACCAAGCTCAATTTGAATGGCTAGTAAGGGGGATCACGTGGACTGCTCTAGGCCATAATTGGAAGGCTTAAGCAATATAGCCCAGGGACAAACCTCAGTCTGTCCTCCTGAAGATCCATCATTCAAGGTTTCTTCCCAAGAAATATACTGAGGTATATTCTTGCTGAATGTGTGGATTTCATCATTTATCTTGAAACTTACAAATAAGCAGTGAAATGCACCCCTGACCTTCTTGATGGCCAATTCTGACCAGCTGTGTCCATATTTACTCATTTTGCACCTCGAGGTGGGGAACTGAGGAGAAAGAGGGACTCTCGGCGCCACATTCAGAAAGGAAAAAAGAGGAATTTGGTAGAAGAGCCCTCTGAACACTTCCACATTTACTAGGTGCTTCCTCAAACCTGAAGAGCCACAGATGGCCACATTCCTATCTCCCAAATGAGAGATGATGGCTGTCTTGAGGCATGAACACCACAATTGCTTCTTCTTTTCATGATCTTGCCACTTGCCTCTGAAACACTCCTGACCGCCTATGCCTCAGTTCTCAGTTGTAAATTGGAACTGATTAACAACCTTGTATCTGGTATACACTGTGCAGGTACACACATGTGTGTGCTTGTGGGGTTGCTTTGTGTGTGTGGTGAGTGTGCACAGTGCAGGTACACACGTGTGTGAGCTTGTGGGATTGTTTAGTGTGTGTGGTGAGTGTGCACAGTGCAGGTATATGTGTGTGAGCTTGTGGGAATGTTTAGTGTGTGTAGTGAGTGTGCACAGTGCAGGTACACATATGTGTGTGTTTGTGGGGTTGTTTAGTGTGTGTGGTGAGTGTGCACAGTGCAGGTACACATGTGTGTGTGCTTGTGGGGTTGTTTAGTGTGTGTGGTGAGTGTGCACAGTGCAGGTACACATGTGTGTGTGCTTGTGGGGTTGTTTACTGTGTGTGGTGAGTGTGCACAGTGCAGGTACACATGTGTGTGAGCTTGTGGGGTTGTTTAGTGTGTGTGGTGAGTATGCACAGTGCAGGTACACATGTGTGTGTACTTGTGGGGTTACTTGGCGTGTGTGGTGAGTGTGCACAGTGCAGATATACATGTGCTTGTTTGTAGAGGCCAGAGGATACCCTGGGTGCTGTCCTTAGGTACTGCTGCTTTCGTTTTTTGTGTGGTTGGGTATCTCATTGGCCTGGAACTTGCCAAGGATGCTAAATAAGCTAGCCATTGAGTCCCAGATATTTGCATGCCTTTGTCCTCCACACTGGGATTGTAAATTTTCACTAGCATGCCCACCCAGTTCCCTTTCCTCCCTCCCTCCTTACCTCTGTCCCTCCCTCCCCCCTCCCCCGTGTGTGTGTGTGTGTGTGTGTGTGTGTGTGTGTGTGTGTGTGTGTGTGTGTGTTGTTTGTTTTAAGGTTTCTGGGAATTGAACTCAGGTCCCCATGCTTGAAGGGCAAGCACTTTATCAACTGAGGCATCTCCAAAGCCCATTGTTGGATTATTGAAAGGATTAAATTCACGTGTGCAGTCTCAGCAGCGTCTAGGCCTTAGTGCCAAACAGTTAATAATACTGGTGTACCTTATAGATGTAGCAGAGCATGAATTCCCAAGGCCCACAGGGAGAGGTCCAGGCAGCTTTAGCAAGAAGGATGCTTAGGGCTGAGGAAAAGCCTAAGATGAGGTTATGCGATAGTAGTGACTTGTATGGACTCTGTCCCCTCATCCTCCCGCTGGTTGGAAATGGGACAAGCACAAAGGCCCTCACCTCCACTTTCCATCGACGTTTCACATCCATGTAGACATCAACCAGCTCATCCATCTCCTTAACAGAAGTCTCAGGAGTTGTATGCAAGGGGACAATCACGAAGTCCTTGACAGCTGAGGAATAACAAATAGGAGGTAGCGCTTTTCCCATGAAGGACCCTGTAGCACTGCCTAGAAAAGGCCCTTCTAAGGGGCACTGCTGCACTATGAGGCCTGATGGAGGGCTGGGGACAGTGGCTGAGTTTCCAGTGCTCTTAGTGTTACCAGGCTACTTGTTTTCAGGACATTAAGACTCTGTTCTCTGACCTGTGCTCTCTCCAGCTAAAAGGAAGATGGTGAACACAGTCCCTCCTGGCACTGTGGGTTTTCTCTCTCTCCTTCCTTTCCTTTCTCTTTTTTTTAACACCCCCCCTCTTTCTGTGACACAAAACACATTGCAGATTTGGTTTTCTCCTTCTATGTGGGTTCTCGGGATCTCACCTGCTCTTCCTTTTTCAAATCTTCATTTTTCTCTTCGTTTATTTGGAGTACTAAAAATTGTTCATGTTTTATGGTTATGTCATTCTTTCTAAGAGTGAATAATAAATCCAGCTGGGTGAGGTGACACACATCTGTAACCCAGAACTTGGGTAGCTGAGGCAGAAGCATCAAGACTTCGAGGCCAGCCTCAGCTACAAGAGAATGCCTCAAAAATGAAAAAATGAACAAAGGTTACTTGTGACAGATCCTTATTGGCTTCTCTTGTTTGAAACCATCTTCTGGGGCTGTAGATGTGCAGGGCCTGGCTTAAGGCAGGGTGAACGTGGGCATCTCTGCATTTGTTCTGCATCTGTCTCCTCTGCTACCTTAAGCTCATGGTCACAGGCTGGCAAGCCTCTCATCCCCCAAGACTGAAGACAGAGATGTTTTCAGCACTCCAGAAACAGTGAACTTTGCAGGCAGACCAAGACCTGACAGAAACCTAGGCTGTAATCCCAGGCAGCAAGTGTCCTCCAGGGGACCTGGAGCCAGTAACAAAACTACACATGACACCATGGCCAGGACTATTGACCAATGCCCATTTCTACCCCTCCTTGCTTCTCTTTTTCCCTCTGTAACCCCAAGGCCTTGCCACAATCTCCTAAGACAGGGCTAGGACACTTGCCTGCTTCCCAGTGTTGCCACACTGACAATCAAATCCCTTACTCTCTCGCTCTGCACTCTCAGGGTAGTGGGGACAGACCTGGAGCCAGGCCTCTGATCAAGGACTCTGGTAACATGTTTAGCTTTTGTACTAAAAGGAAAATGAAAAAAACAAGCAAACAAACAAACAAACAAAAAACAATGGAAGCTGGCAAGTTTATAGTCCTTCTTCAAGCAAGAAGAAAAGCAACAAAACAAAAAACAAAAACAAAACAAAACTAAAAAATTGGAAAGCAGGGCATTAGGGGTACAAAGCTTTAATGCCAGCACTTGGGAGGTGGAGGCAAGTTGTATCTGTAGGTTTAAGGCCAGCCTGTATATAGTGACACCCTGTCTCAAAAAACAACAAAGGGTGGAGGTGCTGGAGAGATGACTCAGTGGACAAAGAGCATGTATTGTTCTGGCAAAGGATCAGAGTTTGTTTTCCAGCACCCATGTTGGTAGCTCACAGCTGTCTATAACTCCAGTTCTAGGGGGATTCAAGACTTCTAGCCTCCTTGGGCACCTGCCTGTGGGTTAGATTCAAAGCATCTCATAAAACAAGACATGGTTGCATAGGCCTGCAATTTCATCACTCAGAGGTGGACACTGAAGGATCAAGAGTTCAAGGCCAGACTGGGGTGTGTTAGACCCTATCTCAAAACGGACAAAGAGATGATGGTCAGGGTGTGATGGTATATTTCTCTAATCCCAACTATAAAAACAGGAAGCAGGGAGAGTGTAAATTCAGGGCTATCCTAGGCTACATAGCAAAACCACAAAACAACACACACACACACACACACAGAGAGAGAGAGAGAGAGAGAGAGAGAGAGAGCGAGAGAGAGAGAGAGAGAGAGAGAGAGAGAGACAGAGAGACAGAGAGAGACAGAGAGAGAGAGAAAGAGAGAGAAAGAGAGAGAGAGAGAGTACTCCTGAGTGGACTTCCTTGGGTGGACTGGGAACCACACCTTGCTCCCCTATCTGCAGGAACCGTGGTCTAAGGCTCTCTCTCCTTCTGGGGCATACCTTCATTCTCTGCCTGGATCCCACTCATGCCTAAAGTGTGGAGGCTACGAGAGGGCCACTGCTCAAGCCCCACAGTGGGGGAATGTAAGAAAAAATGTTTTGTTTCGTTTTGGTTTTTTCCCTGCAATAGGCCAATATTCCATAAACCTCTGGCATCTTGTGAAACTCTTGTGTATATGGCCATCTGCCCAAGACCTGGACATTTTTAGCCCTGACTCTACCATACCCTTCTGCCTTACACTGATTATGAACTAGCCTATCACATGAGATTGGGAGGTTAAGCTCCCACCAAAGGCATGAGACACAGTTACCACCTGCATTAAAATAAAAACCGAGAGCTGGGACTCAGGCCCGCAGGCTGTCACTGGAGACTGGAGACTCACACCCTAGCCGTATCTCCATATCTCCAGTTCATGACTCTGCCTCCCTGGTGATCCCCAGACATTCCACCACACTCCCACCTCTGAGAGTTTTGGCTCTCGGTGACTTCCTTTCTCTAGCCATCTGTGTGGTAATAGACCATGTCTTCCTCTACTGGCCATGAGTGGTCACCCCCTAAGGTCCCTCTGCACTATTTGATGTGTCCTGCTTATTACACCTTCCTCCTCTGTAATCATTCTCTTTGCGTCTATGCTTTGCCCACAGGAGACCCCTCCACGATGCCAGGCTTATATTTTCAATTCGCCTTCTTGGCTGCACTACCTAGCACATCTCCAGACACACGAGAGGTGCTCAGCTATTTCTTGATTGAATACGTGAATGAATAATTAGAGAAATGAATGAAATTGCTAACTCATTTATTTTCTATCCTGATACAACAGGGTAAACTCCTGTCACAGGGGAGAGAGGAACAGTAGGAAAAACTGGACAGTAGAGGCTCAGGAAAAGTAGGTCTGCTTAGCATTGCACAGAGCCTTGCCTGTCTTTGAGAATAAGTACTTGGAGGTGAAGGTTCTCCCTGCTCAGCCATAAGTGAATCAGATAAGGAATAAAAGGATTATTGCTCTCACTGCACTCAATAGTCCCTTTCACACCTCTCTTATATTTTCCCAAAGTGCTCTCCTCTAAGTTAATTAACCCTGTGCAGAAATAGTTCATTCAATAGTTCAGGATTTTACACTAGTGTGGGATAGAGATAAGTATGCCTACTTTAATTCTGCAAATATATATTTAATTATATATATTTAATATATATATTCATTCACACTCTGTATTCCTGCTACAATATGATGTCATGAGGGCAGGGGCTTTGTCAGTCTTAGGCCCTCAGCAGGGCACATAGTAGGTAGTGAAAAGCATTTAACTTTATATGCTGCAACCTACAAACCAATTTTAATTCTTTTGGGGGGTTTTTGTTGTTGTTTGTTTGTTTGTTTTGAGACAGGGTTTCTCTGTGTAGCTTTGGAGCCTGTTCTAGAACTAGCTCTTGTAGACCGGGCTGGTCTCGAACTCACAGAGATCCGCCTGCCTCTGCCTCTTGAGTGCTGAGATTAGAGGTGTGCGCCACGACCGCCCAGCCCAATTTTAATTCTTGACTCTTTTTATTTCTTTTCTTTCAATGCAGAAGATTGGATCCAGAATGCTGTGATGCTAGGCACAAGCTCTTTCACTGAACTGCACTTCTGGCCCTTGGTATTGTGAGAGAGGGTTTCACGGTATAGCTCAGGCTGGCCTTGAACTGCCCATCTTCTCTCTGTCTCCTGAGTGCTGAAACTACAGGCATGTGCCACCACATCTGGTGCATTTCTGACATTCTATTGAGTTCAGTGGTGATTGGGACTTGTGGGTTAGTGGCTTGACTTACAACTCTGGCTTGTCTGTTTTAATAACTGGACTTCAGCACATGATAACGCCTTTAAAATCCCAGTTTCCTCAGACCTGATTAGGGGACCATCCTAGACCCTACACTGCAGCGCATGGAAGAATAACAGGAAACTGGCCATTAATCATGGATCAGTAGCAGTGTTGTTGGGGTCAAGGTGCATCTGGTCTAGCATCTGGCAATCTGTGGAGGGTGGAGTTATCAATGATCCTAAAAGTAGTATCCTGACTAGGAGGTCCTACATCTTGGCATTCTGAAAAGCAAGCCTGGTACCATCAGACCGGCTTCTTCTCTCAAGTATTAACTCTCACCTCAGGTATCCCATAAGACAATGCATGTGTGGCTCACACATGCTCAGGGCTGTGTCCCTTCATAGGCTGCTGGAGAGGTTACCAGAAGGGCTGTTATGTGTTGGATGCTTGGCCCCCAGCTGACAGCAGTATTTTGGGAGGCTGTGAACACTTTAAGACATGGGGCTTTTCTAGAGGAAGTGGGTCACTGGGGAGTGACTTTGGAGGTTACCCTTGGGCCCCGGTGCCTTTGTCACACCTGTGCACCATGAAGTGAAGAAGCCCCGTGACATACGTTCTCACTGACAAGATCTTCTGCCTCACCACAGCCTCCAAATCCACAAAGCCGCAGCTGAACCCTCTAAAACATAAATAAATCTCTCCTCCTCTGAGATGTTGTGTCAGATATTTGGTCATAACACCCTCAGGAGTAACTAATACAGGGTCATGCTCTCACCAGTGAAGGGCGACTGGAACCAAACCACAAAGGGCTCCCTGGAAAATACATCAGTGTCTCCGTCCTGATAGTCATGGTAGAGGTATTTTGACTTCACAGATACCAGCTTTTCCCTAGAAGAGAAAAACAAAACAAGAATTTCTCCTCACTGAGTCCTTTGGTTGTGACTTCAGTAGCTTCCAGAGCAGGCTCAAGCTTGGTTGGGTCTTTCCCCTAAGAACAGACAGAATCAGCTCCTCTTAGTGAACTGAGGGCCTGAGTTATACTTGCTGTCTGGGGCACATCAGGTGAATGTTCAAACTGATAAGAGGAAGCCAGTGAGATTCCTCTGATCCGTGCTCAGATGAGCTGGGCCAGGACCCCCCCACAAAGGAAAAAGAACTCCTGCCCTGGGCAGTCATTAGTTGTCACAAAGCTGCTGTGTTTTCTAGTTAATGACTGAATCGTGTTCTTGTGGAGGTTTTAGGTGATTCAGGCTGACTTTGAACTTGCTGTGTTGCTTGAAGTCCAGATCCTTTTACCTCCATCTTCCAATTGAGTTGAAAGGCCTGTGCTGCCACAGTGCTGGGGATGGAACCAGGCTTTGCACATGCTAGGCAAGCAAGTACTCCACCAACTAAGTAAGCTATAGCCCCAGCATGTGCATGAGTTTGACAGCAAAGATTCTGACCAATAATGATAACTGCTTAGAGACCACAGTCAAATGTTTTTGTTTTATTTGAAGCAGGGTCTCACCTTGTAACTCTGAGTAGCCTGGAACTATGTAGATCAGGCTGCTCAACAACTCACAGAAATGTGCTTGTCTCTGCCTTCCAAGTACTAGGATTAAAGGTGTATTCTGCCATGCCAGGCCCATAATCTATTTGTATTTTATTTATTTATTTATTTATTTATTTATTTATTTATTGTTGTTCTTGTTTTTTGAGACAGTGTTTCTCTATGTAGCAGCCCTAGCTGTCCTGGAACTAGCTCTGTAGACCAAGCTGGCCTTGAACTCACTGAGATCCACCTGTCTCTGCCTTCCAACACCATTGCCCAGCCAGAATCTATTTTTAAAGGAAAATACAATACATATATTTGGGTTCAGTTCAGACAGATCAAACTCACTTATACAGGAAGGCATACTGTTCTTTGTACGTGTTTCTTCCAAGTCGAGAACTAATCACATAGTTGTATGTTGTGCTTCTCCGTGAATTTCTAGAAAACAAATTTTAGTGTATTATGAAAAATAAATATGCCTCTGTTGCATCTGCCCCAACCCCAACCTCCACCCCCTCTCCACATCCCCAGTGCAGGCATAGAGTAACACAGCTGGCCCTACCACTACCCCTGCCTCCACATCCCCAGTCTGGCATGGAGTAACACATCTGCTCTTTCCTCCTTCCCTTCCTTCCTACCTTCCTTCCTTCCTTCCTTCCTTCCTTCCTTCCTTCCTTCCTCCTTCCTTCCTTTCTTTCTTTTTCCTTTTAGTTATTCTTTTTCTTTCTTTTTTTTCCTTTTAATGTGCATTGGTGTTTTGCCATGAGTGTCAAATGCCCTGGTGCTGGAGTTACAGACAGGTGTTAGGAATTGAACCTGGGTCCTCTAGAAGAGCAGTTAGTGCTTTTAAGCACTAAGATATCTCTCCAGTCCCACAACAGGGTTTCTCTGTGCAGGCCTGGCTGTCCTGGCATTTGCTCTGTAGACCAGGCTGGCCTCAAACTCACAGAGAACCGCCTGCCTCTGCCCCCAGACTGCTGGGATTAAAGGTGTGTGCCACCACCGCCCAGCCCTTACTGAGTGATTTAATAACATAAGGCTAAGATCTGAACTAGACTTTTTCACTTCAGACCCATAAGCTTCAACCTGTTTCTATGAGAATCAAAGAGACCAGAGGTGACCCAGGCAAAATAAAATAGCCCTGCTTTTAGGCTTCAGTATGGCCTAACAGGTAAAAGTGTTGCCCGCCAAGCCTAACAGTTTGAGTTTAGTCTCTAGCACCCAAGGGGAGGAAGGAGAGAGCTGACTCCTGCAACTTGTTCTTTGACCTCTATATGTGTATTGTGAGATGTGCACATGAGTGTGTGCACGCACACCCACAAACACACACACACACACACACACACACACACACACACACACACACACACACACACACACTGGAACAAAAAAATAAGAGAAAGCAAAAAAGAAATCCCTGCTTTGGCCTTGAGCCATTGAATGCTTCATGGTTGGAGTCGAGTTTCTCAGGTCATCTGTCCAAGTGCCACTTCTGAGGTCTACCAGAACCTTAACACCCCTCCTCTGAAGACATCAGGGACTGGCTCAAAAGTTCTGGGGCTGATTTCAGACAACTATTTATTACTGGGGTGTAGAGCATCACCATGTAGGGAGAAGGAGGGCAGCAGACTATCCCTGGCCTAGAACAGACAGCCCTACACTCTTTCCCTCTGTCTGTCCGAAAAAGGATCTGGGTCCTGATTAATACTTGTCAGTCTCGTGGACGGTTGGGAAAGACAGAGGGGCTGACTTAGGGACCACCTCTTACCTACTCCTTTCTCTTTCCTGTCCCAATCCTTCACCTTTTCCGCTGATTTTACTCTGTCATATTAAAACCAGCTAGGTGAAGGTTCACAGGACTGTAGCTAAGACAGAAGCCTACTGGGCCCTGGCCACTGTCTGATGGTTAGAGTAAATGCCAGCCTTCACACTGGTTTCTACTCCCCGGCCGGCCATTTACCAAGTGCCCTTGCACTTGACCTGAAGTTCTCTGGGGGTCCATCCCTCTCCCCATTTACCCATTGAGCTTCTCCATCAACATGGGGCAGATGTTGTTGCTGCTGTCCTTGATTTCCATCAGGAGTATAAGGTCACAGCGTTTGATGATCTGCAGAGAGAATTTCCAGGGCTTGAGGCTGTTTTCTGTAAAGCACTTGCTGGGCTCCAAGCACCACAGTCAGATGCTTGCTAGCATAACCTAATCTCTTCCTGAACTAAAAGGAGGACTGACTTCCTGAGAACAGCCCTTGGTTGTGTCCCTTTTGTGTTTTGTTTGATGTTTGCTGTTGTTTTGAGATGGGATCTCATTGCTTAGGCTGGTCCAGAACTCTAGGGCTGAGGCGGTCCTCCTGCCTCAGTCCTGAGGAACTAGGATTGCAGGGGTACATCACGTGCCCAGTGGTTTGGCTGCTGCTGTTTAATTATTTTCTGTCCATTTTAATTTTTTAAGTTAATTTTCTTATCTGAGGCAAGGTCTCACTATATAGCCCTGGCTGGTCTGGAACTCAGAGAGCTACCTGTCTCTGCCTCCAATATGCTGGAATTAGTCGGGCATTGGTGACACACCCCTTTAATCCCAGCACTCGGGAGGCAGAGGCAGAGGCAGAGGCAGG